AGATAGATAGATAGATAGATAGATAGATAGATAGATAGATAGATAGACAGCCCACCAGGCCACACAGAGTCAGACATCTGCACACACGCCCCTTACACAGGTAATTTAGAGTCTCCTCTAAACACATCTGATATTTTGATGGTGGGATGAAGCTGAGTAGTGAATCCACTCATACGTGGGGAGAACACACAAACCTGTAAACCCTCTAGCTGTGAGGCAAAGGCTAACCACCACAAACCACCACACTGTGCAGCCCACGTTCCACCTATTTACACAGGATTTACATAGGATACATGTATCTTTTGAATAGATCCTATGAGACACATCTATCGTATGTTTGAGGATTCAAATAGGGTTGTATTTGTTGTGAGCGTCATTATAAAAATGAGCATAGTTTCTCTTTCCTTTTATGGATATCTGAGCAACATAAAAAACAGTGTAAAAATGGGTGAGGAGGTGCTGGAGAACCAGCAGGTGGCAGGACGGTGCACGGCCAAAATATCCCACTGCAGAGCTCATACTGGGCAGTCTGTGGTCCTATTTGAAACAGCGGTCAGTCTTTGGAGAGTCTCAGACATTAGTGTAGGTGGAGCTGGTGGGCCTGCTTCAGGAGTTAACCTTTGACCTCTCTGTTGCCCGGTGGTGTTTTTTGCTGATTTTCAGACTTTACATGCCTCTCACACACAGCCCCACCCCTGGCTAACAGACCCTACTCAGTAGAGTAGTTTGGCAGTAAGAAATAATTTAATTTTCTTCACCTGTTACTGATAATCAAATTGTGAAAATACATATACATTCTAGGTGCATTCCCCTTTCATTTTGGAACATTTTTCTTAACAGTGTCCATTACCGATATTGTGAATTCAAACGAACCGTGACAAAACTATCACAACTCAATAACCACAATTTGACTATTCTTTCAAGTGGAGTGAAGTTAAGATTTTTGGTGAAGTGAAAACCGGAAATAAGGAGTTTTGCTTTCAGTATAAAACCTTGCAGAAAATTATTTTAGAAATGTTCTGCACTGTGTGGCCTAAGCTTACCCTAACCCCACAGAAAGGAGGTTCCTAGTTCGAATCCCAGCTCGAAGGCCTTTGTTTGGAGTTTGAGCTTCCCCCTGTGCATGTTTGTTCTCTAAAATTGCACTGGCTTCTTCCCACTGTCAGATTATTCTGTGATAGCATGTAGAACCGTGCATGAGTCTGCCTTACTGGCCCTGCAATTGACTTATAATGTCCAGAATGTGTCTATCCTCTTATCAGCTTCTATGTGCCCCCCTGCCACTCCTAATTAGACGAAGTGGGAACAGAAAATGGATTCCTGTTGTACCCTGTTTTTTCCTTTTGTACAAACACAAAGCCATTTAGTTTGCATATGGATCATCTGTCTGAAAAACTAAAATGGTACAATGTGTATGTAGACTTTCATTTCAGAATACACTAATATAATCCCTTCAATTAATTATTGTGCTCTTTTATATTTTGTCCATTTGCAGTGCAGTTATAGTACTCCTTTTAATCTAAATAAGGAACTTTGTAAATAGATTTGTTTGTTGATTTCTTGTTTCAAAGTATGAAGTTTTAATGGCCTTTTCATTGCTGCTTTATTCTCTGAAATAGACAAAAGATAAATTAAGAAACCTTCCTTGTCATTGATTCTTAAAAATATATGACTAATAAAACATAAAAAAAATGTTGTTACTGTATAGAGACGTCCATGTAAACTGGAGGAAAAAAACAGGGAAAGCAAAACTTGATCTATTTTTCAGGTTTTATCTAAAGAAATAAGCTCAAGGAATTAATTATTTGTTAAATCAATCAAAATTGGAAAAGTATAAGTCAAAAACAAACAATCAGTTACCTAGTTTGACTCTCATATTTATTTAGAGCCTCATGGGGAGAAACTGCTACTTCAACCACAGTATTACAATTTAGAACCAGACTCATCAAACTCAGACAAATTATTGATCGTTTGAAGGGTCCAACCTGCTTTTTACAAAGTTGCTAAACAGGACCTCGGGGGCCAGTTCGGGTGGCGCGGCTGTGTCACTTCATTTGTGGAGCTTTAAACACTTTCCATCCATTTTAGCTCGTTTAGGAATGAATGACGTGGACTTGGGGGCAGTCTGGGCTGTGTTTTGGGCCATCGTGGGGTCAACCATTTCTCGTGACTTGGTGGAAAGCAGATAAGGGGTGTGTGGTTGTCTCACCTGATCAGGCAAGGCGATTTGTTTTGAAATCTCAAACCGGAAGGGGTCTCTGCCCCTTACGTCGTGCTTGACAACGGCCCTTAGAGACAGTCGCGGAGCGGGAGGTGAACGCAGCGTCTGGGGGACTTCTCTGTTTGTCTGCAGGCAACCTGATTGACTAACATCACCAACGCCCATTCGGTGGAAACATCCAGGAAATGAAACGAGGCTCTACAAGAGGAGCCGTCTCTTCCCGTTAACTCCGACCAGGCTCGATCGCTGCTCCGCTCTGGTCGTGATTTCGAACTGAAGCCAGTTCCACAACATTATCAGAGTCCTCTGATGTGAAGCACCATCTGCACAAGTTAGCTGCTGCATTACTGAGTAACACTGACTCCCGTCCACCCGGAAAATGGCAACCCAGATCGATAAAGAGGCTTGCAGAGATGCTTACAACGAAGTCAGAGACGATGCCACCGAGACCAACTGGTGAGTGTGCTCCCTTCAGAAATTGGGCAATTCTACATGAATGCACTTATCCGCGAAGAGTGGACGTTTGTTTGGCGCGGGCAAGCCTCCGTTTGAGTAATCTTTATCTGTCAATGACTTCGGCGGGCAAACGGGACACGGTGTGGCCATTTTTCAGCATTCTCTGAGTTATCATTTTAATTCCCGTTACCGCCCACTGCGCCTTTTTTTCCCTGGCCCACGGGGTGTTGTTTTAATAGCGAGAGCGGTCTGGCCTGCGTGATGCATGCCGAATAAATGGTGAAACATTAAAGACACATAAAACGGCATTCGATATGTTTATTGTCGCCGATAGTTGCGCCCAAGCCACGATGACTTGAAACTGTTCGCTATTCAGATGGACTCGCACCTGCTCGCTCCAGAAACGCCTTAGCACGGCATGATCGTGAATTGTCCCACTCTCGATATTTCAAACTTGTAGAAGCAAAGCCTGCTATAATGTTGGCCGTAATGCGACCAGCTTTCGTGGACGTGGCTGATCTGTATTCTGGGTGTCGATCGGTGGGACACTGCTCAGTTATCAGGCCCAGCAGGGCAGAAGTAATTTCCTTTGTCCTGTATTCATGGAGGATAACGTTATTGTGGTGCCACTTGCACATGGCTGCTGTCGTGCATGGGCGTCTTGGGCATTTTGATGCAGGGCTCCGGGTTTCGAAATGCCTCTTGTGTGCACACAATGCAAACTCTTGTGATTCCACGCATCATGAGACGTGGAGCCAATAACCCTCTCTGTGCATCCTCCCAGGGCTGCGTTCAAGTACGAAGGCTCCAGGATCGTGCCCGCAGGACAAGGGACCGACTATGAGGACTTCAAAGGGCTGTGCACAGGTAAAAAAAAAGCAGCTCTGTTTTCCAGCCATACTGCTACTGCTGCCGGGTGGCTGTTTGGTGTGCGTTTGGTCTCAGGACGGGTTCGACCGCCTATGTGCACACAGCTTGACTTTGCAGAACACTAATCTTTTAAGACTCTGTGCTCTGTCACCCATTGGCCAACAGCCCTGAGACTGTACCGTCAAAAGCATCTTACTCCGCCTGGGCTGGGCTGAGTAATCTGGCCTACAGGATCCTCAGCCTCCACGAGCTTTAACTCCACAGGTCGACGTTTTTGTGTTCAAATCTGAATCACGGCGGGAGGATTTGGGGCTGTCAGCTTTCCTGTCCGACTGGTTCTTAGAATTAAATTTCGCAGAGGTGTTTCCTCTTTGTGGATTACTGTTTCAAAACCAACAAAGGGAAGAAGAATGACTTGGTAATGACTCCCTTGTGGAAGTTCCCTCCTTCAGAGTGGAGCATTAGCTCACACGCAGGGTGGGACGGTTTTCTGATGCAGCTTTTTTGGGGGGGGGGGGGGGGGGGAGAACTTTTTGGTTTTCACTTCATTCTTTTTTTGGTTTCCCTTTTCTTCCCTCGTCTTGATATTCCCCCGCTCACATTCTGGTGTTGAAACGGCCCGTCGTGACGGAGCTTCACGCGCTGCGGCTCAGCTTTTTAGTTCCTCTTCCGAGACCGCCGCGCTCTTCTTTGGGCTCGTTGTCCTTATTTAGCAGTAAAGCTGATACTCCGCAGAAAGAAAGAGAAAAAAAAAACCCGGCCTGTGAGTGTAGGAGGAGCTGACACAGACTGGTAGCTCAGGAAGTCCATAAAACTCCTGGAGAATATTGTTTTGATCTTTTCCTGCTGCAGCAAGCCAAAAGAAAAGATCACTCTTGTCTTTCTTACGTCTAATTAAATTTACCAACAAGCAATAACTAACCCAGTCAGGGGTGCACAGTCAGCATTTTTGAGGCACAGCCAGTCTTCAGGCCTCCTTGCTGAGAAGCTCCTTTTACAGTGTGTGTCTCCCTAATAAGTTACATCAATTTTTCTCTGTGTTTAAAAATGTCTAGGCTAGAATTTCTTGGCAGTTATTGAAACTCCATTGGATGCATATGCAGGCGTTTCTCCCTCTGCTTTGACTCAAGTTGGATCTCTTCAATCTACCCGAATGAATCGCGACGCCTCCTCTGATTTTCTTCATTGTTTCCACTCACAGAATCCACGTTTTCTTTATTTTTTGTTCTCAAAGTAGCTGGAAGTCAGAACAGATCGCTAATGGAAAAAAGACTCTAAGAGATTAATGACCTCCAGAGGAAAACGCTGGTTTGAGTCCAACAAGAAGAATTGTGAAATGTAAATAATCATAACGAATGGACCTTTTTTGTTGTTGTTTTTTTTGCATTATCCAGTTTTCTTAAGCCAGGGAATGTTCGTCAGATATCAAAACGATTCCCCCTCGTTTTGCTCTGAGTGGTTCATGGAGAGTTAGGAACATAAGCAGATATTGAAGTTGCTGTTTAGATTTTTAGAATCATACATGGCATAAGAGGAAACGTGTGAGTTGACTCCTCTTCTGTGGAACGGCGAGTTTCTCTAAGATGTCAGGAGAGTGTTGTCCCCCCCCCCCCAGGCTGACGCCGCTCGCCATACCCACCTGAGGCCGTCCGCAGGAGACGGTCTCCAGGCTGCTCAGAGGGCCTGAGCGTGGGCTGAGCGAGCGTCCACAGGAAGACGGGATCAGCCGCTCGCTCAAATCCGTGTCCCTCACACAGTGATTGTTTTTTTTTTTGCCGTCTCATCATTTCGCTGGTTTCTGGGCAGCTGCCGGGCGGCGGGGCGGCTGCAGAGTCAGCACAGCTCTGGAGGGAAGACGAACCAGGAAGAGTCTGGCAGGGGGAGGAAGTGGGGTGGGTGAGCTGAAGGTCGGGGGAAGGTTTTTTTTTGTTGGTATTTCTGCTTGTTCCTCTCTGGCAGCTCAAACAATAGCAGCGAGAGGCAGGACAAAAGGTGTGTTCATTAATAAGCTGCTAAGGCTGTAAATGATAACGGGCCTTTGATTGACAAAGCGGCGCGTCCTCCTCAGTGGCTGATCCTGTTGGCGTTCGGCTGCGCTGTTTTTAAGTCTTTATGAGCGGCCTCAACAGGTTCATAGAGATAAAACAAGTTTATGGATAAACCATCAATGCAGCCGGCCTTCAGACGCTCGCTTTGGACTCGGCCAAAGATCATAAAGCTGCGAAACGTCCTGCAGACTTACATTCCACTTATTTTATCCATTCATGAGTAATTAAACTAACAAAAGATTATAAAATAATTGATTGTCCTTTTTATCCAGATTTCTAGACCAAATTGAAATCTAAGTCATAGTAAAAAATGTTTTAAAAAAGCACAAACATTTGTGGAAGTTTAGGGGAAACTATATTGTGCTCAGGAGTAAATATTTAGACAAATAAATCAATCAATATTTATCAATCAATAAAGTACTGTCTAAGTCTAAATGGGACAAAAACAAAGCAGATTTGTAAACGGATTGCTATTTTTTTACTATAAGGAAATTAGCCTCCAGGAACGGCCATTTTGCAAACTGCATTAATACTTAAAAGCTGATTGTGATACACAAACAGGATTGTGGATGAATGTGTGATGGGGCCTCTGGAAATTCAACAGCTCAAATCCAGAGATGGAGTTTAATCTTCCCAAACTCAACCCTAAGGAAGGCTCCAGCTTCCACTCTGCTGTTCAACAGGTGAAGAGACGTCATTACACAAGCTGGATGTCTTTAACGGCGGCCTCTGCAGCACAAAGACGCGTTTAATTAAAAGATGTCTGAACCCTGAGAAGGAGGTGAATAAGGCTCAGCTGGGGGATGAAAAAAAAGACTCCTTTCTGTTTCCTTTTAGTCAGGCTGAGAAAGAAAGGATCAGTTTTTTAGGAAAGCTGTGGGAGGCCGGCTCTTCGTCTGCTGTTTTAGAGACTCATTCCTCCTAAAATCTTTACATCCTGCGGGAAGTGGACCACCTTTAACCCTTCAAGGTCCAGGAAAAAGAAACTTTCTTTGGGCAAACATAATCCGAATTCTCAAATGGTTGGTGTGACATTTTATGGAAAGATGTTTCTTTAAAAAAAGGAAAAAAGATAATGCTGGAACCATAAAGGATAAATGTGATGTTCTGAAAGGTGGGGCGAGACTTTAAAACAGGCTTTTAAACGCAGATCCTCTCTGCTGCTGGCTGACTGCAGAGCATGCAGATGTGGGCAGAGGATGGAGTCATGGAGTCCACGATAGATGCACAGAAACCCAGATGGCCTTAAATGGATTGCCTTGAGTCAGAGACTAAATAATGAGTAATATTATCATCCCTCCCACCTCCCACAGAGTGCAGTCTGCTCCTGTTGTCTCCCAGACAGGTGCTGTTACGTCTCACACATCAGTGGAACAAAGAGCTCCAAACCGTCTCTGCTCCAGCTTCAGCTTTAGATTGCTGCCTGATGGGTTAGGGTTAGGAATGTTAGGGTTAGTAATGTTACTAATGTTAGGTTTAGGAAGGATAGGGTTATTAACCTAAGCGTTATGTATGTTAGTAATGTTAGGGTTGGGAATGTTAGGGTTGGGAATGTTAGGGTTAGGAATGTTAGGGTTAAGCATGTTAGGGTTACAAATGTTAGGGTTGGGAATGTTAGGGTTGGGGGGCTAATATGGAGCCACGCAGTGGCTAATTCACATTCTGGATTGATTCTCCTCTGCCTTAGATGGATTTACGTCCTGAATTTGTGTGTCTTTGATGATATTGGACTCGGTGACAAAGACCTGAGCATGGTTTAGTTAAATGACCTCATGCTGCCCAAAAACAGAGCAGACAGCCATGCATTTGTTGTGATGACACAGGAGTGAAAAGCTCACCATACTTTATTAAACCAATCCAGCTCGGAACATCCATAGCTCTATTCCAATTTACAGTTTTTCCATTGATTTGGTCTAAACAAGACACATTTTGTCACAAAAGATAAAAACATGTCTTCAAAATGGTATTTTCTGTCATGCCTGTGACAAAAAGTTCCTGTCACATTAATGCAGTAATGTTGGATACCGGAAAATCCCTTTTGATCATCATTCCACTTCAAATAACAAACGGCTGCTTCTTGTGTGTGTGTGTGTGGTCCAACATGCAGTTTTGATGCTTTTCTAAATCATTGACAACAGAATGTCTTCGCGTTTAAAATTTCCTGAAAAACTAATGAAATCCATGCCATCAGCGGTCAACATTGGCCATTGACAGTGATCATTTCAGAAAAAGTTTCTTGTTATATAATCTCAAATTTAGTTCAAATCCACAACGCAGGACACAGATGGTCAATTTAATATTAATCTATTAAAGAAATCCCATGAAAATCTTCATATTTAAAAGCAGTAAACAGGAAATAGACTTTAACATTTTCTTATGCAGATTTAAACTGAAAATGCATCAAAATCAAGCCGGTATTGAGTTTAAGTAGGACTTGTAGATGGAATTCACACAAAACCAGAAAAATTGTGCTTTTTTTTTCTTTTTCTTTTCTTTTTTTTGTGTCTGTACTCAGACATTATTCTCAGACAGGAGTTGACCACCACATAAGTGGCAGGCGTGGCCTCTGGAGGCTTGTGACACAACAGCAAAGCTCACAAAAGATTTACTCACTGAGTCTACTGACCTGAATACTTCCTGGTTGCACAGACACACTTTCGCAAAGCATGACAAAGGACTTTACAGAGGAGAGCGAGTCCTTTTTCAGTCTGAGGCGACGTCTTTCTGCTGCTCGCTCACTGTGAACACGTGCAGATTTTCAACCTTTTCCTTTTGGGTTCAACACATGCTAAATATCCCTAATCCTTAATCAATTGACGGGAAGAAAGAAAAAAAGTCGTATTTCCTCAAGCTGATTAAACTGGCTTTCACCTCGTTAGCCACGGGAGGAATTTTAATAACGAAGCAAAGTCCAGGTTACCCATAACTGCCCACTTTTTGGATCCTGAATCTGCAAATATTTGACCTATTTAATAGTATTTTGCTTGTAGACTAACAGATAGTAATTATGATTTTAAGTCAAATCAGATTTTCTGTTTATTTTCTTTGTTGATTAACTGAAATAATATATTGGCCGCCTTACACTACAAAATGGGAGGAATTGAGAATTTACATTTGAGAGATTGAACCAGCTAATATTTTCTTCCTTTACAGCATTTTATTACCTTTTTCCTCCTGATTAAACTAATGCTCCTCACTTTTTGGACTGTTTGCTCTTTAATCCTGTTTTGGGACACAGGAGCTGCACTCAGCCGTCTACGTTTTTCTCTCCTCAGATGATTCGCGTCTGTTCGGCTTCGTCCGGATCACGACGGGAGACGCCATGAGCAAAAGGGCCAAGTTCACCCTCATCACCTGGATCGGGGAAAATATCAGCGGGCTGCAGCGCGCCAAGATCAGCACGGACAAGACGCTGGTCAAAGACATCGTGCAGGTCAGAGACTCTGGAGGATTGGAGGCACTTATAATGGCTCCTTTGGGGAAAACTGGTTGTCAGCCGGCCACCTGGTGACAGGATGTTTTGTTCACTGGACCAAAAACCACACATGAGGTCAAAATATAGACAACAAGTCTTTATTTTGTTCTAATACCAGTTTGCGTAAATAAATTGTGATCTATTCAATATTTTGTATGCAGCCAAAAGGGACGTGTGTTTCCATTTTTAAGCTTTAAAAAAAAAATCATTTATTTCACCACGTTGACCAATAAGACTTCAGATATAAAGATGTGGCAGCGACTTATAGCCAGTCTAAAAAGAAGGTAGACCCTCTTTTAGTATTAAGGTTTTTGTATCACAACGTAATATTCAAGTCACTTGTTTGAAAGCACATGGAAAAACAACCAAAGCGCTTCACAGTTTAAGACATTTTAATGAGAAATCAAATGAATAATCAGGTTCTTACTAGGTAATAGAATGAGGTGATTGAACATTTCAATATCCTTAACAAAAGGCTGGTTTATGTTTATTACATTTGACTCTTCAGCTGTAGCTGAACATTGAGCAGATAAGGGATCGTTTCCTGTCTGGTCCCATTGGTCCTCACGTCAGCGCCCGTTTTGACTCCACAGAACTTTGCCAAGGAGTTCATGATCAGCGACCCGCGAGAACTGGACGAGGACTACATCCGTACGGAGCTGAAGAAGGCGGGCGGCGCCAACTACGACGCTCAGGCCGAGTAGAGAGGCGCCACGGCCCACTGGAGGCGCCTGGGTTGGGGGATTCGTGGTGGTTGGACTGGAGAGTCTAAACGGGGGTGGGGACTGTTGGGTCGGGGCTGCTACCTCCTGGGGAGAGGGTGAGGCAGAACGGAGAGGACAAAAGTGACCACTAAATACTCAAATCCAAGTAGAATCTTTAAGATCAGTCTCTCTTTCACCAGTTAACGGGCCTGTTAAGTCGGAAGTTCAGATCAGAGTTGTTCGGAAAGTGTTCCTGTTGGTTCACATCTAAAGCACAGACTCAATTTGAAAGCATCCTTTTGTTTTACCACCCTAAAAGTTTTAAGTAGAAGGGAACTGGACTTGTTTTTCTTTTGATTATTGAGAAGAAACTAGACCCCCCAAAACGTCAGTTTGAAAACTCCTTGGCGAAGGAACAGTCTCTTATCTTTTAAACTTAATTTTTGTCTTCAAAAGGATTCAAATTGTGTGCTTTACAGCTGGAAACCGGTTGGCTCCGCTGAGTATAAAGACTAGAACCGAGAGTAAACGGCTAGCCTGGATCATTTCTCACCTGCCATAGTTTACATTGTGTCCTCTTGTTTAATTAGTCCAAACACAGAAGGGTAAAAATGGTGCCAAAGTACTTTTACACTTCAGTTTTTGCACAGATTAAACATAGGAGATTTAATATTGATGCATGACTAGCAATGACATGTCATATATGTGTGTTTTTTTTATCTTTTCTCTGAGCCAATCTAGCTGTTGTGGAGTATTTTTAGTCTTTATGCACAGCTGAGCTGACCGGTTTTTGCAGAAAAAGCAAGCAGGGGACAAATTGTGTCATCTCCACTTTCATAATTGGACTTTTAATTGGTTTCTTTAAGCGCCCACGCATGCTGGCAGCTGGTAGGAATCCAGCTCTGTTACAACATCCTGAATGAAGATGTTTATCAAAGCTGGCCCCCAGCAGCAGGCGGTTCTACAGTCTGACGTGCTCTCAAGGACCGGCTCTCCTTTCCGGCCCCCCCCGCCCTCTTCCCGGTCAGCTCATGGTCGGTTATCTCCTGTGCTGTAAAATGTCATCTCACACACGTCTTCATCTCAGCCGGAGCAAAAAAGGAAGTTTCCTTCAAGGCTGCAGCACTGTTAAAGAATAACTGAATGAAAAGCCCGAAGGGTTCCTCTTTAAAAATGCTGCAAGGCCGAATCCCGCGGTAAGAACTCGGTCATTGCCCCATTTTTTAAACGGAACCCTTCTCTTGCAGGCATGTGTGACACCAGAACATGCTCTTAGTCATGATACACTGTTCCTCCACGAGGGAAAGATCTCCATTGTCTGACTGGGTGGCTGGTTTGAAGGTTGAGTCACTGTGCTGCACATTCAGCCAGCAGACAGCTGTGTTTGGATTGCAGCTTCTCAGTTGACTATAATTCATCCCCCCGTCGCCTCCGTGCTCTGTGATGTGGATCCCTTTCATCCTTATATTTCAACGCAGCCGGCTTCCCGTGCCAAAAAGGCAAAGAATTGGGAGGACTAAACCTTTTGCCACAGAAACAAATGACTGCTAATTTATTGATCCTGTCACAGGACCTTTGGTCAAGTATTGATAGCTGGACGGAGCTTCAAAGCACTCTGATTATGGAGGTCTTTCCTTCTGGTGTCTCATCTCATTATCAACCACTTTTACATGCATACTGTAACCTACTGTGTTTGACTGCCTTAGTCTCCCATGGAGAGAGGGGCATCATGGGAGCTTGTGGACACTACACTGTGACTGGCTATCCTTCTTTCCATGGCACAGGATGTGGGCCCAGGCTTATCATCCCAACCCACGAGGAGCCATTTCTCAGTTGTAGCATCTCTTTTGATTTAGTTTCAACCCTCCGTTTCCCCATTTAAAAAAAAGAAACAAACAAACAAAATTAGGATTTTTTTCTCTTGTACTTTTTTTTGTTTTTTCAGATGAATTTTCATTTCTCTGATGAGTTTTTCCTGATTTGATTTTTTTTTTTAAAGAGAATTGTTGTCTTATACATTGGTGAAGAACATTTTCAGAAAATCATGCAAAAACGAAAGAAAACAGAATGGGCACAAGATCAGTCATTTGAAAATAAAAATTGATGTTTTGTTTTTCCAAAACCTGTTTCTCAAAGTGTTTTTTGTGTGTCATGCATAGTCAACACAATAAAAAGGGAACTCAATTAGAGACTCAATTAGTAACAAATCAGACTTTGGCTGTATGTCAACAGTAATTGTGGCACCTGATATTTATGTACTTTTCATAGTTTACATTTTAGATTTTAACATATTTTCTAAGTGCTACTTTTTTTTAAAACTCTTGTCCAAAGCTGAAGGATTTTCTAGATGGTTCTTCTTCATCCAACGACTGATTGGTTAATTCATTTAGCATTAGCATCAATAGCTAACTACTCATCCAGACCAACAAGAGCAGTATCTGACTTAGAGCAGTGCCATTAATATGACATTTATCTCAACAGATTAAATCGCTTAAATGTATTTGTTTCCTGTGAATCTCACATGTATCTAGCAAAAATAAGATTAATTTAGTTTTCCTTTCAACATACTTTTGACAGACATGAAAATTATTTTTTCAACTGGTCAACGTGCTTTTCATTGGCAATCTAAGCAAACAGAGTTGTTTAGTTTTAAACCTGTTTGCATGAAGCAAAAGTAGCTCAGGCTGTCGCAGCTCAAATGACCTGCGGTCAGATGCTAGTCATGCACGCACGTGTATTGTGCTGTTGCACTTTGGCCTATTGAACAAAAATGGCACTTAACACCAAACATAACTTTGAACAGTCATAAAAAAATCTATTCCTTACTTTTGAAACAGCAGAAACCAGCACAGACTTAACTTGTCACCTTGTTGATACTTCATACAACATTCCTGTAAAGCCAGGTCATTGAGGATCTCCTTACATATTGATAAATCAAATATTTTTGCTCATTTGGAAGTGACTTTTGACTGCAAACCAGGATGAGAAATGCAATCGCAGGACAATTAAACAGGAGCTCTAAAAGGCTCTCTGGTTTTTGCTGAATGAACCCTAAACCTTTGCAATAGATCTTCCAGTAAAAATATCTCTGTTTAAAAATATGGCAAATCCCAAACATGCAAAGCAAATAAAAAGCTGGGAAACATGTTTTACAAGTTAGCATCGATACAGGTGACACAAGACCTTGTGAACTTAAGCTGTCAATGAACATATTTTCTCAGCTGGTAAACAGCTTTATCATTTTTCCATTGTTTTGAAAAAGATCCATTTCAACCCCCTGAATTTATCTTTTGAAATGATAAAGTGTTAGGTTCTGCTTCGGCCAATTTCAACAACCCAAGAAAGTTAAAGTTTACCAGATAGAATTATTTAAAAAAAGAAATGCCACCATTTTACTTTGCTCGGTAGGCCTCATAAATGAGGCCAAGTTTGTATTGTATTTTGGTACAGTAGGATTGGGCAACATTTGTGGGCTAAAAGGTCATATCTCAGTTCTTACAAGGAAGTCAAAGGCCTTTCAGGTAGTCCCATGGTGCTTCTGTAACCTTTGTATCTAACAGGAAGTAAGAAAGAAAGCAAACTTTAGTGTTCTTAACTGTCATTTACTTCAACATCAATACATCACATATTAAGTTTTGGTCCTTCCAAATCATTAGGTGAATAATTAACTCCTATTTAATGTCTCTACTTTCTTCCCTTTAAAATGGAAAAACGTCACAGTGATTTATCAGAATCGTTCCCGTCAGATGTTTTTTCACACTGCCTGAAAATGTCCATTTAATGGCCCCCAACAGCGCTCGAAAATCCCAAAAGTAGATCTAAAAAGCAAAGATGATTTTAAAATGGAAAAACATCAGAAAACTTTTCTCAGGTCAAATAATTCACTGCTGCCACCGGCTTCTGTGACCGGCCGCTGTGCATTCAAACACACTCTGCTGGTGTCCTGAAACTTTTTTTCGGACTCTACGAAGGTTTAGGAATAGAAATGAACAAAATAGAATAGACTATTTTCTATGCCACTAGCTATATTAGATTATTCGTTTTTTGCCTTATTAAACTGATGAAACGGGCTGTTGATGTATCACGTCAGAGACCAAGCGCAGGGTTTAATCCCTGGATTCACATCATGTCAGCGCGTCAGCAAATAATATAGATTTCCAATGAAGGGGCCTGATTTTGCGTGTTCTCCTGTCCCTCTCATTGTTTCAGTTTGAGTGACGGCTGCTGGCCTGTATCAGGTCAGTCAATGTGCTCCCAGCTGTTCAAACCCAAACACTGTCAGCATGTCATGCGTTATCCTGTTACAGCTGCCCGGTGAATGGATTAATGGCGGGTGTGTATGAGTCAGCCGCCGATTAAACATGACTCCTGCTGGGTGGCTGTGTGCCGGCTGGTTTCTGACAGGCTCGCTGGGTGGTTGCAGAGATCTTGGAGGACTAATGGTAGGTTGCACAAAGGCAGAGCTTCCATGTGGTTTTAAGTCAACCGTGGGGGGAATTACAGGTAGATGTCATTTATGCTCGTGCTACAGAGTTTGGGAGTTAGGGCTCGTTAAGACAGGTGTGTTAACAGCCAGGGTAAAGCCATTAATCCCTTTACAAATGTCCTGTCCAATTGCTTGGAAAACACTGGTACCTCATTCATAACAAGGAAGATTTTTGCTATCTGACTTATACATTTACAACCAGATCTGAAGATAAAGTAGAACCTTTCATTTTGATTACCTGAACATATGAATTTTCCAACATCCGAAGTGAAATTAGATCCAATATTCGACCCAACACCCAAATTAAATTTCCAACATACGTATGACGTCGAAGTCACAGAAAAAATAAAATAAAATATAAAAATTTAATAATAATGAATAAGCTCTGTTAGTTTGAAGTTAAGGTTAAAGGAGTTATTGTAGGTTTTTGGGCTGTGGAACGAATGATAGGAATTACAGTGTATTCTGAGTGGAATATCTGAACCAACATACGAATATTTAAGAACTAATTAAA